CGCGGTGATTGGAGCGGTGGCGATGGGAGCGCGGCGATTGGAGCGGTGGCGATGGGAGCGCGGCGATGGGAGCGCGGTGGCGATGGGGGCGGTGGCGATGGGAGCGCGGTGGCGATGGGAGCGCGGTGGCGATGGGAGCGGCGCCGCGGCACGCGCTCACTCTGCAACTTCCTGAGGGCGCTCAATCTGTGACTGACGGATGAACGACCAGCACAACAATTGTAATTATCGTCATCGTCTTTGTAAAACATTCATCATCGACATCATCAGTATAATAGTCATCTCCCTCCATCACCAGCCGGCCATTATCATAAGCATAATGGCTTCCGTGCGCACACAGACTTCTGCACGGCGACGTGCAGCGAGGGGAGAGGATGATGGACAGCGCGGCGTCAGCCAGAACCAGAACGCTCGCCTGTCTCTGATTGTTACCCCAGTGCATGAATTAAAAGTTCATATTAATACATATGGATGGATCTGCAGCGCTAACGCCGCCTGCAGCTAATCAGAGTGAATTAAAGGTCTGAACACATTTTACACTCCGTGCTCCTCTGGGGGAAACGGACCAACTCAAGCATCGATGCGTGCAGCGTCAACGAGCGCGTGTCAATTATTCATTGACCGGCTGATTTCTGCGGTTTGCGTACTAAAGCCTCCGGGTGGCGCCGTGGCAGGAGGGCGTTTAGGCAACGCCTCGTAACTGGCGCCTCTTCTTCTTCTTCTGTGAGGACGAGAGGCGCTGCGTTCTTTACACCGAGGCGGTGTTGGCAGCCAGAAGGACGGACAGAAACAGAGGAGTTGGAGCTGCAGCACAGGCTCTGGCCTTCAGCATAATTACAGCAGGAGGAGTTTAAACGAGCGCAGCTTTTCGCCGATCACAGAGAGCGGCTCGTTTAAAACGTGAACATTTATCTGGTGAGCTTGAGCAGCTCCTGATCCTCCCGCGTTGTTTCACCTGAGCAGTGGAGCTGAGGTCAAACCTAAGCCATCAGCGGCGCCCCGCCCTGATTGGATGAGTCCTGATTACAGAGGCCTGAAGGTCGGGGGAGCGAGGGAAAACAAAGAGCTACAGAGGAAGAGGAGGGGCAGAAGAAGAAAGAAAAACAGCAAACAGGACGGGACAGAATGTCAGACTATGAGAAGATAAACACTTTGGGCTGGAAAGAAACCTGAAATACCTAAACCAGCCAATAGATGGAGCTAGTAAGCATCAACTAAACTTTTCCTCTGCTAATCTCGCATAAAGCTGCAGTTTGTAACTTTTATTAAAAATAAAAACATGTTTTTGACATTTATTAAACTGTCTCCATGTTCATACAGTTTCTTATAAGACAGAATCTATGAAAATATCGATTTCCTGCTAGAAATGCTCCAACAACCAATCAGAGCCAGGAGGAGGGACTTAGCGCTGTCAATCATCCTCGTGCACCTGCTGCACGAGGATGATTGATGATTAAAACCGTTTGTGGCCATGTTAACTAGCCTCAGCGTTCACAGCAGGTTCTGCTATCAGGAAGCAGTGCGTACACTAGGGTGATTGAGAGCGCTAAGCCCCGCCTCCTGGCTCTGACTGGTTGGTTCTAGTTAGCATTGGCAGAAAGCAGAGGAGCTATTATTTGAGCCTTTGAGATGCTAATCAGCTGATCCCGGTTGTGAAATGAGATCTTGTTGCCATGGTTACACATCACAACTGTCAACGTTTCCAGAAACAGAGGAGGAGGAAAAACCTGTCCAAAATGCAACGACTCAACCAGAAAACTGCTTTAGAAAAGTCTAAAAAAGAAGCAATGAGAACCAACAGAGCTACTCCAACCATGAGCAGCAATATTCTAGAACGGCCTAGTCAAAGTCCAGATCTGAATCCAACTAAAGTGAGACTTTAAACTATTGATCTGATCTGACCAAATATTTTACACTGAAAAACAGACAAAGGACTTGAGTCTCCAGAAGTGAAATCAGCCAGAAGTTCACTTCACTTCACTTCCTTCATCATCATCATCTTCCTCCACTGTCTGTTGCTGCTTTCAGCTGTACAGTGAGAAAATACAGGAGAGCAGGCTGCAGATGATGCCTCTCTTCGGGAAGCGCCGACTTGCTGCTTTAATGCGGCCATTACGGCTCCAGAAAGGAGGAGAAGCAGGACGGACGGTGGCCCAGAGGACACAAAAAGCTCAGGGAAAACGCATCAGGCCCGCTCTCCGTCACTCCATCCCAGAGCCTTTCTGCGCTTCAGCTGGAAGTCATGTCAGAGCGGGAGGCGGCCCTGAAACGTCTGCTGCAGGACAGACGAGTGGAGACAGGAAGATGAGGAGGGGGGACATTCAGGGACATTTTTAGCTCCCACTGATTGCTCTTTGTGTTTAGCAGTTTACTGCTAGCTTCTGCTAACAACGTTCAGTGGTTTAGCATTAGCAGAGCTAAGGTTCTTGTTTTGCGTATTGGTGGTTAGTGAACTTTGCCACCACTGGCGACAGCTACAGCTGATCTTAGTTCAAACAAATATCTGTTACATCTATGGCAGCCATTTTGAAAAATGTCCACTAAGAAAGGAAACAAGGTGGAGAAAATTGCTATGATTTGCTGTGGTTCGAAATGTGGAGGTTATGATTTAACTTCCAACGAACGATGTTAGTGGACAAATGAATTTTCCATGACAACCATGGTGGAAATCTTGAAAAATCAAAAACTTACGTATGATTTAATACCAAATGTATTTGTCTTTCCTTGACATTTATGGCCACCATGTAACCTGGGAACAGGCGCGCCCGGTAATGAAGCGTTGCTGAAACATGAAACGATCAGCCGCAGACTGACTTTGGCCCGTGCCTCTCTGCAGACCCGCTGCGGCTGCGGATCACGGCTGAGCGGGCCGACGAGCCTCTCCTCAGGACACGCTCAGCTCTTTAAGAGAGTCGACTTCACGTTCAGTTGCCTCAACAGCCTCGCCTTAACGGCGGCGACTCCGGTAACCTTGGCCATCCATTAGCCGCCTAAGAACAAAAGCCGTTTCCACAGGGAGCCATTAGACGGATATAGCTCTGGGAAGGGAAGCATCCAACACACCAGATGGGCCGCGTCCGTCCGCGCTCCGGGGCTGGACTGCGGTCTCTCAGAGATCATTACTGAGCAGGAGGAATCAGGCTGGAGTCCATCCAGTCTAACTAAACTCCCCGTGAAACGACAATCAGCCTCACAGAACTACCCAACTGCATTCACACTGCTGCAGCTCTTCTCTCTACAGATTTACTTCACAGACCAACAGGAGAAACACAGCAAGGAAAAGGATTAACAAATACAAATCTAAAAAGTTTCACAGGTTTATGTTTATGAAAAGCATCTGTGAGATTTAATTTTCAACACTTACCAAGATTTTGTCAGGATTTAGGTCTAGACTTTGACTAGACCAGAACCTCTGCAGTCAAACTGAGATATTTGTATAAGGCAGATATTGAAATATAAAAGTAAAAAACACAGATGATTAATAATTAGACTACTGAGGGTGGAAATTCAGTGAATTCATGCCACACTTTCCAGATTTGTATTTGAATAGATTAAAGCATCCTGTGCTGCTTTGCTCTGCGAGTCTCTCTCATATAACCCCAGTGAAACACATTAAAGTTTGTGGAGAACGAATCTGCGGTACGTTTAATGAAATGTGTGCCGTTCCCTAACAGAGCCACGAAGACGCTGCAAAACGCAGGAATTATAACAATCCATCTCATTTTCCGTAGCGGCGCTGTCAGGAGGAAGGAGATGTTTTCACCCAGAAAGGCTCCCCGGCGCGCCGAGTCGAGTCCCGGGTCTGAATTTGCATCTATTATGCATAAGTGGAGCTGAGCCTGGTGGCCAGCCTGACCATCAGCGACTGGAGAAGATGTGCCTGCTGTCTCCTGCTGTCCCTCATGGTTTCCTGCTTCACTCTGCACCTCTCAGCGCCATGCCTGTGTGTGTGTGTGTGTGTGTGTGTGTGTGTGTGTGTGTGTGTGTGTGTGTGAAGCATCATGATGGATGTGTGTGTGCAACAAACGTCATATTTGTATCAACCGAACACGTGTGTGTTTGCACATGTATGACACATTGTGACAGTCTAAAGGTTGTGAAGGTCTGTCTGTCTCTGGAGGTTGGACCAGGTGTGTGTGTCTGTGTGTGTGTGTGTGTGTGGTGTGTGTGAGAGCTGACAGAGCTGAGGTGGAACACCTTGTTAATGTGACAGAGCCGGTGAAGCAGTCGTCCAGGTAACGGGCCTCAGGTGTCTCTTCGGCTGCGCTGCCTGTCAGATGAAAGCAGCAGGATCTCAGCTCCTTCAGCTTCCTGCAGTCCAGTCAGCGAATCTCAGTCCGAGTGGAGCATCGCAGCGAGTTTAGCAGCTGTGTTGTTGGAGCGTTTATCAGACTGGCGGGTCAAAGAACAAACCGTCAGGATTCCTGGGCGGTTCAGTCTGGAGGGACCGGAGAGGTCAGCGGGGTCACGATGAAGACGAGGGGTTGACCTTCATCATAAGGCTGACCTTCATCATCATCATCAGGCTGACCTTCATCATCAGGGGCAGATTCCAGGGATAGGACGCTCTGGGTGTTTCTGGTTCTAAACCAGCTTCTGGTTCCTCAGATGTTCGGAAAACATGATGACAGCAGTAGCACCAGCTACCCTGATCAGGCAAAACATTATGACCACAGACAGATGGACTGATGACTCTGATCATTGCAGAATCAGGTGCAAATCTTGTGGGATGTGTGACTGATAGGAGCGCAGGAGGGCGGAGCTACGCACACCTTTACAGTAAAACTTCTGCATCTTTCTTTCCTCCATTTAGACTAGAATACGTTCATCAACACTTTACATCCTGCATCATCATTTGGTTTTGAATCGTAGGTTTATTAAGATCCGACACAGAAGCCCTGACCATCAAGCATATAATATGAATAAAGGCATGAACCATATGAAGCTAATGAAGCAAATTAAACAACCGGCAGATAAACAGAGTAAATGAAAGGGTTTGTTTGACCACCGGAGCAGAAGGAGAACTGAGACCTACACAGCTAATGAACACATGATGAGCTTTTCATGCTAATGTTGAACTCCTTCAGTCGGCCCCTCGCTGTTTGTCTTAATGAACTTCTCATCCTATATTTCTCTCTTCATAACTCCTCAGGAACATTATGAATCACACACAGATGATGGTTTTGTCCTCTGGTCAGTGGAGATGAACGTACCTGGTAGACGTGGTAGGCGTTGGCAGCTCTGCCCTGCAGGAACACGGAGGGGATCCACACGTTGACGAGAGCCCGATGAGCCCTGAGGGACACCAACATGGTCGTTACCGCCCTCGTTAGCACATCACAGGCAGCAGCACGCTGTCTACAACCGGTTAGCAGACAATCCGACCGCGCCGGAAAGTCGGAGTTCATAAGTAGACGGCAGATTTAAAGGGACAGGATACTGAGGTTTCATTTACCATAATCCATATTCAGGGAATCTGTAGGTTTCAGCAACTTTTTAATTTTTAAGACCTTTTTAATGCCACCATGAATGACATTTAAGACAGAAAAAATAAATAAATATAGAGGGGGTTTTGGCATATAACAATCAAGTGATGAAAAAACTGTGAACCTGGCTTTGTGACCATCATGGAGGCAAAAAAAGCTAACTAGCTAGCAAGCAAGGGTATATTAGCTGCTAGTTAGCAGTAGCCTCAACTACCTCGAGTAAGAGTGTAGTGAAGATGTTTACAAGCAAATCAAACTTACCTGACAAAAAAGTCCTGAACCCCCCCACTAAATTAGACTGTCAAAATTAAAGACCTGTACTTACGTCTCAAAATCTGACAGGTTGGGATCATCTGACGTCTGGCTTAAATCTCCTGGGACCTGGAAAAATGAGATATGGATCATCAGAACCTGAGCAAAAATGATCACAAGATGTGAAAATGTTTCTGCCCAAGTTTTATTTAAAGAGAAACTGGAAGAGAAGGGATGCTGGAAATGCACTAAGCTGGATTTACAATCTGTGAACATTTACACTTTTTACAATCTTTAGCTTTGCCCTATTAGCTTTGTTCTGTTAGCTTCGTTCTGTTAGCTTTGCCCTGTCAGCTTTGCCCTGTCAGCTTTGCCTTGTTAGCTTTGTTCTGTTAGCTTCGATCTGTTAGCTTTGATCTGTTAGCTTCGTTCTGTTAGCTTCGATCTGTTAGCTTTGCCCTGTTAGCTTTGTTCCGTTAGCTTTGTTCCGTTAGCTTTGTTCTGTTACCTTTGCCCTGTCAGCTTTGCTCTGTCAGCTTTGCCTTGTTAGCTTTGTTCTGTTAGCTTCGATCTGTTAGCTTTGATCTGTTAGCTCTGCTCTGTTAGCTTTGTTTCGTTAGCTTTGCCCCGTCACCTTTGTTTCGTTAGCTTTGTTCTGTTAGCTTTGTTCCATTAGCTTTGTTCTGTTAGCTTTGTTCTGTTAGCTTTGCCCTGTTAGCTTTGTTCTGTTAGCTTTGTTCCGTTAGCTGACTGGAGCAGAAGCTTCTCCAAAATAAAAGCAGGTCTTTTGTAAAATCGCCCTTCTTGTTCCTGAATCACCAGTCGAGCCCGTCGGCTCCATCTGACATGTGTCAGAAAAACACACCTCCATTAATGCTAATTATAGCCGCGGCGGCGCTGCCTGGCCCTTACATCAGTCTGTCCCTCAGGGCTGAAAACTACAATCTGCCCACATCAGTATTTTTAGTCAGCCCAGTTGTTATGATTATCTTTTTTTCCTTCATCTTCTCTGATCAACAGTTACAACCATTTTCCTCCAGATTGTTCTGCATATGGAAGCTAGCCGGCTGTTAGCTACGGCTTCAGAATAAACATGGCCGATCGGTCTGGTTTATCATGAGATGAGCAAAGTTATCAAAGTTTGTCAAACTCAGAAGTTGAAATGGTCTAAATGATAACTCAGACTCCAGTCTGAAGTAAAACTAACCCAACCTTCAGGGTCCCTGAGGTCCAATATGAGGAGCTACAAGCTGAAACCACAACCAGACGCTCAGTAACGACGGGACGTCCAGAAGAACGTTGGAGGAACAGAGAAAAGGTGTGTTAAAAGTCTTTTACAGTATTACAGTTATATTACTGACTCCTTTTTATTCGTTTTTGTCTCTTTTTTTAAGTTTGCATCGTTCATGTGTTTGCAGCGTGTTTTTGCCGTTTGCTGCCCGTCTGATCCTGTCAGCAGAGACCTTCTGGGTCAGTGTTCCCAGAACCAGAACCAGACAAGAGGAGGCAGCTTTTGGTTTCTCTGCTGCTCAGATCTGGAACAAACTGCATGGAAACCTGAGCTGATCAGAAACTGTTGGTTCCTTTACATCAGGCCTGAAACGCGACCAGCAGCTTTGGATCAAACCATCCGACAGATGAATGGTTTCTGCTCAGGATGGGATGGAAATGTAAAATTAGATGCTTCCTTCCCTTTCTGTATTTCCTTTGAAGGCTTCTTGGCGTCTCAATGAGGCGATCTGATCCTGTCTCTACCCCCAGCAATGGTAAACACAAAACGCCACCTGAGGGCGAGCTGAGCAGCGGCGGATCGGCCGGCTGCTCAGACAGCGCGGTCCAGCAGAGCCGGCTGAGGCTGAGGGATAAGAGGCCGGCGTTCAGCCTGAGGCGGCGGCACATCGCTGTGGTGGTCAGGGCAGACGCCTGCTGACATCCAGACTTTCTGGATGTCAGCACATCCACACACACAAAGCTGAAGGGACTGAGATAAGGCTGTTTACTTGAAACGGCAATAAAAGGATGAAAGGAAAGTTCTGGACTAATATTGGTTTTCTTCTTCATACGAGACGACAAAATAAAAACAGCCTTTATTTTCCTGCAAAAGGGGAAATTCACGTGCAACAGCAAGTATAAAGGTTCACCCAGACTTTTAAAAACTAAGTAGAAAAATCAAGACATAATGGCAGATTATAATGGCAATCAATCATACCATTACCATCTGCTCTTTTAAATGTATTTTCTGAGAAGATTCCCATAAATCTGGAGGATTTTCACCCTGCGAGTCGTCCTGCTTCTTAACGACTAAACCATGTGAATGTGTGATGGCAGCATCAGGGAGGGGGACCGGCTGCAGCCACTCACCGGTCCTCGGAGGTCGATCAGCTCCTGCCTCATCTGGACGATCAGGTGGTCCTTGGCCATGAGCGAGCGGTACAGGCGCTCGTTAAACTCGATCAGCTCGCCGTGCATCTCCGCCACCTGCAGCACACACAGCACTGACATTTCATTTTAAAAGCTCGCTCCGTTCCTCCCCGTCACAGACTGAACAGTCCAGGTGAGGCAAATGGAAGCTGACGGTTCTGGACGGGTTCTGGGACCCGGCGAGCCGAGCCGGGTCGGACGGACCGAAGATGTGAAACTCCTTCATCTCCAAGGTGCCCAGAGTTTTTCCTGCTTGCTTTTCTGTTTTCATTCACTACACATCACAGTTCAGGCTAATTACAGCACACACACACACACACACAGAGACACACGCAGAGACACACACACA